GCCCACCCAAGGGTGGGAGAGCCATCATTGATCCTTCTTGTTCTGTTTCTCAGAAGTGAGGGGTGCCGGGCATGGTGGCTCATGCCTGTAATCCCAACACTTTGGGAGGCCGAGGCGGGCAGATCACCTGAGATCTGGAGTTTGAGACAAGCCTGGCCAACATGGTAAAATCCCATTTCTACTAAAAATACAAAATTAGCTGGGCGTGGTAGCACGCACCTGTAATCTCTGTTACTTGGGAGGCTGAGGCAGGAGAATCACTTGAACCTGGGAGGCAGAGGTTGCAGTGAGCCGAGATCGGGCCATTGCACTCCAGCCTGGGCAACAAGAGTGACACTCCATCTCAAAAAAAAGAAAAAAAAAAAGTGAGGAGAAACTCGTCAAGATGGGGGAAGGGGTTCTTCTTTAGACAGCTAGCTCGGTGGCTGGATTATGAAAGTAATGATTCCACTTTAAGGGCAGAAGGACAGTGTAATTTTATTTTTGTGGTTGATCTAACCTACATCCTGTTGAAATCAATTTTATCCTGGTCTATACAAAGCAGACATAAAGACACTGGTGAACTTACATTAAATTTTTATAGGATGATGATATGGTTTGGCTCTGTGTCCCTACCCAAATCTGATGTGGAATTTTAATCCCCACATGACAGGAGAGGGGCCTGGTGGGAGGTGACTGGACCATGGGGACAGTTTCCCCATGCTGTTCTCGTGATAGTGAGGGAGTTCTCACAAGATCTGATGGTTTAAAAGTGTGGCATTTCCCCGGCGTCCTCTCTTTCCTGCTGCCATGCAAGACATGCCTTGCTTCCCCTTCCGCTATGACTGTAAGTTTCCTGAGGCCTCCCCAGCCATGCGGAGCTATGAGTCAATTAAACCTCTTTTCTTTATGAATTACTCAGTCTGAGGTAGTTCTTTATAGCAGAGTGAAAATGGACTAAGACAGATGATATCAATATTCTTGTAGATCAGTGTCCTTTCTGTGTCAGAATTGGCAATGAGTTGTGCTTAGTTCCTAAATTCCATCTCTCCAGAAGGAAGACCATGAATAGTAATTGAAAAAGCCCAGCATTGAGACTCAGATAACCCTGGGTTCCAGTCTCAGTACTGTATTACCCAGTACCTTTGGACATGTTAGTTGGCCCCTTAGAGGGGACTTATCTCCCTCATACCACTTCTCATCTGCATCTTCAGAGGCTCAGTATTCTTATCCTCAAATAAGGACAAGAATATCTTCTTGGCAGTGATGTTGTAAAGATTCAATGAGATAATGTACGAGCCTGGCACAGACAGACTCTCAATAAATGGTACCTTCAAGACTCTTAACAACAAGGCTGGGTATCTGTAACAGGCCTAACTACTCCATGAGCCTTAACAGGACATCTCCATAAGTTGGGCCCAGGAGGCCAAAGTACAGTGCTGCAGGAGACCCAGGCCAAACCAGCAGTCTCAGGGCTACCTGGATGGAGCAAGATGGTGGCTCCTGAAGTTGGAGTGCTGTCAGGGCCAGGGAACAGATGTAGCAATGGACTGCCAGTGGTTTGCTTCATTCTCTTCCTCCAGCAGCTGTAGGCTTGGGCTGCTGGGGCTCTTGCCAGGAGTTGGGGGCTGAGGATCAGGGCAGAGAATGCTGGACGGCCTTGTCCTGCACTTTTGGAATTTGGGTGTTAGCTAATAGGGCTCTCTGGCTGTCCCATTCAGCATTTGTAGAATCTCCTCTTCCTGGTCCCAGGGCCAGACAAGGACATTCTGGGCAGAAAGAAACCATCAGTGTGCATAGGAAGAACAGCAGCTTCTTAATCAGTCCAGGGGACAGAGTCTAAGCTAGAGCGTTATTCTGCTCTCATTTAATTATCAAAATGATTCCTCTTCTTCTGTCCTCCCTGGGGCTGCATGCCCCAGATTCCCTGGGCCCAGTAATTGCCTCTCTGTTAATAGAAATCATCAGTATTTATTACACCAAGTGTGCCAGGTTATTTCAGCTCTTCTTGTAGCAGCATTAAGGCGAACACTTGATAGCATATCACTCAAGCGACTCTACTTAATAACAAGAGTAAAGGCCCCTGAACCGTTCTCTTTGCTGGGAGAGCTGAGGAGTCATGGTCAGAGCCTAATGAGAGGAGCTGAGGGGCTTTGTGTGGGGTCTGCAACAGGGCCCTGGCATGGCCCTGGGTGAGGAACAGGCACAGGGCTCAGGAACAAGAGACCTGAGCCCTCCCACCTTCCCCCAGCGGAAGTCTCCTGGGGGTTTCTGTTCTTCCGTAGGGTACATAACAATGGGTAGTGACTTGAGTTCAAATTCTTGCTCTACCGCTCAGGGCTTGTGAACTTTGGCCTCCTGGAATGCCAGTCTTCTTATCTACAAAACAAGGAGAATAACATCTACCTCCCAGAGCTGGTGTGAGGATTAAATGAGAAAATAATGTGAAAAGACTCCACTGAGGCTGCCATGGGAGGCATGCTACAAGCATCTCTTCTTCCCTCCCTCCCTCCCTCTTTCTTTCCAGGAGCTGCTGCTGTGGGATTGAGAGGGCACGACATAAGTAACTGGGCCGCAACAGTGCCTGGTACGAATGCTGGTTCCTCCCTGCAGCCTCTTCAGCCTCTCTGCATCCAATGATGGATGAGCTCACCCAAGACAAGGCTGAGACAGGAGTCTCACAGTCCTGGGGTGCCTGTGTATTTGGGTTGGAAACCAGGCTGGCTGCCACTATAGCTTCCAGACTCCCATGGGCAACGGTGGAGAATCCCTTTCCCTCCTTTAGTCAGTGTAGTGCTCGGGCTCGCTGTCTGCCCATCTCTGTGTCTTTTCAACCCTGCTCAGGGACCCATCTCTGAAGAGGTGGATGCTATGTGTGGCCTCAAGGGGACTGGGCAGGTTTGGAGTGAAATGCAGAGGTAACCTGGCCCCTTCTGATGACCATATCTTCAGGCAGCTGTCTTTAAGGTCCTGGAGTGACTCAGCAGTTCAGGGAGCACAGTTATTGAACACATACTGTGTACTTTCAAGTGAGGCTCAGAGAAGCTCCCAAAGGCCCCAGTCAACAGGGGATGGGAACTGGAGCCCAGGGCCAGCTTATCCAAAGCTCTCTTCACTCCTGTGTGGGTGTCCCGCAAACAGTATTGGAACAATTTATGGAGGGGTTTAAACTGCATCTGTTACACAGAGGGCATTGTTTAGGAAGTTTTGCTAATGTGTAAATATCCAAATGTCGATTCTCTGGTATAACAGGCATGAATGTGTTTTCTGACAGTGTGGCCCCAAGAACACAGGGGTTACTTTGTAGCAGGCTGTGCTAGTGGATAGGGTACTGTGGGGTAGGGAAGATGACCAGGGTTTCTGAATGTCAGGATGTTCTCAAGGTTCATAACTCCTAGGCAAGACTAAATCACCATCTTCTCACCAAGGGACCAAAGGACACTGCTCTGTCCCTGTGTCACTGTGCCTGTTCATTCCTGTTTTGTTTTTTTTGATACAGACTCTCGCTCTGTCACCTAGGCTGGAGTGCAATGGTGCAATCTCAGCTCACTGCAACCTCTACTTCCCGAGTTCATGCGATTCTCCTGCCTCAGCCTCCTGAGTAGCTGGGATTACACTCATGTGCCACCATGCCCGGCTAATTTTTATATTTTTAGTAGAGACAGGGTTTCACCATGTTGTCCAGGCTGGTCTTGAACTCCTGACCTCGTGATCCACCCACCTTGGCTTCCCGAAGTGCTGGGATTATAGGCGTGAGCCACCACGCTCAGCATTCCTGTTTGTTATGGGCTATACACTGTGCCCTCAAAAATTCGTATGTTGACATCGTAACCCCCAGTACCTCAGAATGTGACCTTCTTTGGAGACAGGATCTTTATAGAGGTAATTAAGTTAAACTGAGGTCGTCAGCGTGGGCCCTAATCCAATATGACTGGTGTCTTTGGAGAAATCTGGACAGAGACATGTACAGAGGGAAGACAGCGTGAAGACACAGGCCGATGACAGCCATCCACAGGCCAAGGAGAGGGGCCTGGAAAGGATCCTTCTCTCAGAGCCCACAGGAGGAACCCACCCTGCCGACACCTTATCTCAGACCTGCAGCCTCCAGAACTGTGAGACAAGAAACTTCTGTCCTTTAAGCCACCCAGTCTGTGATACTTGTTACAGCAGCCCTAGGAAACTAATAGACTATTCTTTTAATTTTTGCTTGAAATTTAGTATCCCCTCTCCAGTTAGGAAGAAAACGTTGATGTCTTCCTATTCCTGACTGATACTGTTTCCTTCAGATCAGCTTGACAGTTGGTTTTACTGGTGATACTGGACACACTCCAGTAATGGAAAGAGAGAGGCAGAAATGTGGAGAAACTGAGGTAGAGACCAGCAGTGTCAAAGCAACAGGGACAGGAGGTGACATGAAGGGCCACAGCCGCAGAGAGAGACCGGAAGGGGCCATGGGTCTGCACAGGCCTTGGCAGCCACTGGCTGCCCCCGCTCATCTCCAAAATGCCAGATGTGTGTGAGTAATTACAGAGGTTTCCTCTGGGCAGCCTCCCTGGTTGGTTCCCGTCTATCCCTCACAGGCGCATAATGGAATTAAATGTGACTCCACTGCAGTTCTGTGCAGTGACTTATGCCACTGCAGTCAATAAAACCCACTCTTGGAAAGAAACTAGATTACAGGTCAGGAAAGGGTGGGCAGTTGCTGAGCCGCCTCTGATCGTTCCCTGTGGGGGGCCTTCCACATCCCTTCTCTCTTCATTTCTACCAAATTACCCACTAGCTTTGGATTTGTTATTTAGATTGACTTTGCCTCGGTTCCTCTGACATTGATGTGGCACCACAAAATTATGCAGCATGGGATCCAGAGGAGTTTTCAAAGGAGGCATTTTCTCTGACATCTCACTGAAAGTGCCAGCCATGTAAACGTTGAAGGGGGCCTCTGAGCGCAGGCATGGGGGCCCTTGCTCCTGACACCTTCTAGAGGAGGAAAGGTCACAGAGTCTTCAACCAGCGGGTCTTACCTTACATGGGTGAGGATCCACTCCATATGTTTCCAATGTCTGTGCTTTTCTTAAGAAGTTCAGCTCTGATGTTGCTGGTGTCTGACCACTGGAATAAAGAAGATGAGATGGTTTCAAGGTGTCTTGTTCCCACAGGTTCCCCTGAGGTAACTCTCTATGAAGACGTGCTCAGGGTGAGCCACACATCTCAATGTTTCTAGGGTGTGCTCCCTGCTTGGTTCTAGGACCAACTTCAGAGACTCCTGCTAGAGTCTCTGACTGTCTTCAAACATTTTCAGAGTGAGGCAGGCTACATAATGAATTACTTGGGCTGAGTGTGAACAATGGGGAGTGGTGGGGACTGTGCCAGCAGCACCTTAGCTCTGAGATTCCCATTACTGAGAATGCAGGGCCCACTACTTGGGAGGCTGAGGTGGGAGGTGGGAGGTGGGAGGATCGCTTGAGCCCAGGAGTGCAAGGTTGCAGTGAGCTATGGTCACAGCCCTGCACTCCACCCTGAGTGACAGAATAAGACCCTGTCTCAAAAAAAAAAAAAAAAAAATACTGATTTTTATGTGGTATTTCACAATTTAAAATACTATGGGGTAAAACAAAATACATCTGTAGGCTGGAGGCAGGTCATAGGCTTCTCATATGTGATCTGATCTAGACTGAAATATAAAGAAGGGGCTCATAAAGCTGGCTGGTGCCACCCAGCCCTCTTCCTTTGCCAAAAGGAAACACAGGAAAGTAGGGTGAGGAGAGGCAGAAGGAGACAGTACTGAGGTCCCATGCTCCACAACAGCTGTCTGTCCATAGGGTGATGACCATGAAAAGGAAAGACACTGAAAAAGGCAGAGATCAGCTCCGGCTCCAGACCATCTGAAGGGGCCTTTGGCATCACCCCTTCCCACTGCCTCTTTAGCAGGTGTGTTGATGGGCTCATTGCAGACCCAGTGGCAGAATCACCATCAGGCTCTTGCCTGGGTCCAGAGCCCTGCAAAGCAGATGTACTTCTATAGATACAGGGTTGGCTCTGGTGAGGAGGGGCGAGCAGCTTGTGAAGTCAACATCTCTGATGGCTGGTGGGCAGGACTGCACGTTGCTCATTTCTAAGCTTATCAGTTGCCTCAGGTGATACGGCCAGGCAGGAAGATAAGCTGGCCCCAAGGAGAAGCAGGCCGGATTCCCCTAGCGTCCCTCTGGAGAGGCATCAGTCAGGCAGCATCTTTATGCGCCAGTCTCGTGCTACTTGCTGGAAAATATACGAAGAAACACAGTATACAGTTTGTGCCCTCAAGAGCCCCTATCACATTGCATAAAGGAAGCATGGATGTATTTTTACATTATGAAGACGAGGCAGGACCTGTGGAAGAAGTACCTGTGGAAGGGGGTATTACTATGAATAAAGACTTCTGCATCCACTAGCGTACCTGAGGCACAGGGAAGGTAAGTTTGGAACATATTTGTGTGGCAAGCAAAGGGCTGGCTAGAGCACCGCTTCCCTTTCCAGGGAGCATCCTTGTTTGCAGGGGAGTGGGCCCTGGGGGCTCCATTTACCCCTGGAGTTGGCCCAAACCTTCAGGGTCCTCAAAGCGGGCATCATTTCCTGGGGGATCCCCTGCTTTGAACAGCTTTCTGGAAGGCTGTCCCTACTATTCTGATGTCTCCTAAAGCCCTCCAGGCAGTTCCAGCATACCCCTGATCTCTTTGAAGGAACCTTGAGGACACGGCCCCCAACACCACAAGCCCGTGTTTATTCTGATTTTTACCACAAGGGGTCGCTATTCCCTAACAGAGTGACTCGAGGAGCCGCGGGGTCCTGCACCCGGGAAGGCACACCCAGGGAGAGGGGAGGGAAGCATGCAAGATTCCATTTGTTTGGTGTTGCCATTCCGCTGGGAGGGTCAGGAACCCCTCCTGTCACAGAGCGTGGGCAGAGGGGTCTGTTTACAAAGGCGAAGGAGGCTTTGGGTTATATTTGTTGGTAAAATCATTGAGTGAAGGGTTTCTGGGGGCCTGTGGTTAGGGAAGGAACAAGTTGAAGCTTAGTATTAGCATTAGAAATGTCCGGCTCTGCTCCCTGTTGCCAGGCATAGTCTTTCCTCAGAACAGTAGATACACAAACCTTTTAAAATATTTTTTTAAAGCTGTAATGTATTATAATGACAATATAACTTTTTATTTTTATTTTTTTGAGACAGGGTCTCGCTCTGTGGCCCAAGCTGGCATGCAGTGGCACGATTCCAGCTCACTGCAACCTCCACCTCCCGGTTCAAGCGATTCTCATGCCTTAGCCTCCTGAGTAGCTGGTATTACAAGCGTGTGCCACCACATCTGGCTTTATTTATTTACTTTCATTTTTAGTAGAGACAGGGTTTCTGCCATGTTGCCCGGGCTGGTCTCTCGAACTTCTGGTCTCAGGTGATCTGCCCTCCTCCACCTCCCAAAGTGCTGGGATTACAGGTGTGAGCCACTGTGCTTGGCCAACGCTGCATTCTATATCCCTTTTTTTCCTCAGTTTGTCAGTTTGGGGAATCTGTGTTGTACACCAAGTGGAGCCCAGACACCCTATTGCTGCTTTTAAAAATCAGGCTTTGTAGAAAATCCTACTTCATGTGTGTGAAAGGCTGCATTAATGCTGTTTTATGGTATTCAGCATATGCTGGGCAAGGTGAGAGACGCTGAGAGAGATGAGGCTCTACACTTGAAGCCACGTCTCCTCCACTTCCCTCTGTGCAAAGTCAGGGACTCCAGAGGGTCCCTGGTGTGGTGGGGGGCCTGAGGACATAGTCCTGAACCAGAGCGCTCCCAAGGCACCCTCAGCATTTATGAATCAGTCCTGCGCACTCCATCCTCTGCTGAGAAGCCACCTGTCACACTGTCACAGACTGAGAGCAGAGGCCTGCCCTTTTTCACATCCTCACTCAACCTCTCCTTTTCCTTTCTTTTTTTTTTTGAGATGGAGTCTCACTCTGTCACCCAGGCTGGAGTGCAGTGGCGCAACCTCTGCTCACTGCAACCTCTGCCTCCCGGGTTCAAGCTATTCTCCCGCCTCAGCCTCCGGAGTAGCTGGGATTACAGGCACCTGCCATCATGCCTAACTAATTTTTGTATTTTTAGTAGAGATGGGTTTTCACCATGTTGGCCAGGTTGGTCTTGAACTCCCGGCCTCAGGTGATCCACCTGCCTCAACCTCTCAAAGTGCTGAGATTACAGCCATGAGGATACATGATAAAGCACCTGCCCTTTTTCTTTCATCTTTTTTCTCTTATGCAGTTTCCTTTGTGTTTATCTTTTCCTTTTCCCCAGTTCATGCTTTCCTCTGTATCTTCATTAAATATCTTAGTGAGGTAAATGCCTTTCAAAGGCCAATCCCTCTCTGTTTCCCCTATAACACAATTCTCCCTTATCTTTAAAGCTTCAGCCTATATCGCTCTTCTTGGAGTGGGAGCCCACAGGGCTTGTGGCTGTGACTTGTGCTGTCAGTGTATCACTGACAATGGTACATCCTGGGGTGAGGAAGGCTGGGGAGCATCACTCTGTGTCAGTAAACAGTCTGCGAGAGCAGAGGACACGTCGTGGAGCCTGTGCGCTCAGGCTGTGGAGAAGCCACAGTGTTCTGGGCCTAAGTGCCACGTACCTGAGTTCTGTCTTGTGAATCTCGGCAATTTTCCTTTCCAGCTTCTCTGAATGTTTAGGGAAAAACTGGAACTTGGAGCTGTAGCCTTCAGGGTGTTTCCCTGAGTCATAATCCCCAATCTCCGCTTTCAAAAGGAAGGTGGAAGAAAACAATTACGGAGACACGTAAATCATCATTGACAAAGCAACAAGAGATTAGCACACAGAGCAAAAGCCAAAACACACATCAGATTTACAGGAAACAGTGGATTCTGAGCATGGCTGTCAGCTGGGCAGAGGGCAGGCCCTTCAGGAGCATGTCCACCTTTGTTTTCCCAGGTACACACATTGGGTTGGCATTCAAGTCTATGCAGAGAGACAGAGAGCTGGCCTTGTGTTCTGAGGTCACAAGTAAATTTACAATGAAAGAGCAGAGGCCTGCACTATGGTCCTCATCCATTCCGCCATGAGAAGAGGGTCTAGGAACAACGTTCTTTGTGGCAGCCCAGGAAATGGTGAGCTTGATCAGAAAGGGAGATCCTCTTGGGCCTCAGCCAGATCAGAGGTCTACATCCTAGTTTGAGGATGTTAGCAGGGACACAGTAAATTGATGAATGAGTTGCGATCCAAATTCAGAACTCAACCCTCAGTTCAAATCAAATCAAATGAATAAATTTGAATAAATATTCATTAAGGGCTGACCAGGTGCCAGGTTCCTTCGAGCGGCCTGCAGAGTGGGAAGCCTGGCTGTAACCAGAAACTGTCGTTGAGTTCAGAAGCAGCAAGTTCTAAGGCTCATTTCTCAAGTCCCTGCCAGGTGTGAGCCTTTCTCCTCCAGCTATTCACAGAGAGAGTTTATCTAAACCTGATGAGATCTCAGAGCAGTAAACTTTAGGAGGGCAGAAGACCCACGGTACTTTCCACACCCAGGTCAGAATCCAGCTTTTTCCACGTGAAGCTCTCCACAGGGAGGATGGTGGCTATGACAAAAGAAAGAGGAGGGGCCAGCTACTCTGTGGGTGCCCTTTTTCCTTCCCAGGTGAGAGCCACAACCACTTCAGATGTGAAGTCTTGAGAGAGAAGTAAATATTAAAAGGAAAACGTGCCTTCCCTCCCATGGCTGAATATTATTACTTGTGGCTTGTACTTTCTCACTACAAACCTACTCACTGTGTCTTCCAAATTACTTGGGAACTTCTACTGTTAGCAAGAGACCCAAATCTGAAGTCTGGGGTGACCTTGAGCCTTGGAGTCTTTTTTCTTTTGAGACAGAGTCTCATGGCACCCAGACTGGAGTGCAGTGGCATGATCATAGCTCGCTGCAGCCTCGACCTCCTGGGCTCAAGTGATCCGCCTACCTCAGCCTATAGCTGAGACTACAGGTGCCCACCCCAGGCATGGCTAATTTTTTTTTTTTTTTGAGACAGAGTCTCGTTCTGTCACCAGGCTGGGGTGCAGTGGCGCGATCTCAGGTTGAAGCGATTCTCCTGCCTCAGCCTCCCGAGTAGCTGGGACTACAGGTGCGTGCCACCACACCCAGCTAATTTTGGTATTTTTAGTAGAGACGGGGTTTCACCATGATGGCCAGGATGGTTTCGATCTCTTGACCTTGTGATCTGCCTGCCTCAGCCTCCCAAAGTTCTGGGGTTACAGGCGTGAGCCACTGCGCCAGGCCTAATTTTTAAATTTTTTGTAGAGATGGGGTTTCACTCTGTTGCCCAGGCTGGTCTCAAACTCCTGGGCTCAAGTGATCTTCCCACCTCAGCCTTCCAAAGTGCTGAAGTAACAGTTGTGAGGCACTGTGCCTGGCCCAGAGTCATTTATATTGATTTTATTTAGAAAGTTCCAAGTGGAAAACATCAATGTTGGACATCAAGTACTTTTTTGAAGAAAAACGAATGATTGGGTAAAACTATAGAAAAGACTAGAGTTTAAGACTCGACTTAGGTCAGGCTAGGCTTTCTCTTTAAAAACAAAAGGGGCATTCAGGAGTTTGAGATCAGCCTGGGCAATGTGGCGAAACCCTATCTCTACAAAAAAATAAAAAATTTAGTTGAGTGTGATGGTGCACACTTGTGGTTCCAGCTACTTGGGAGGTTGAGGTGGGAGGATCACTTGAGCCCAGGAGGTGGAGGTAAGCCAAGATTACGCCACTGCACTCTGGCCTAGGGGACAGAGCCAGATCCTGTCAAAAAAAAAAAAAAAAAAATCTCTCTCTCTCTCTCAAAGGGGCATCTTTGGGTGTCTTAAGATTATTAAGTACCTGCTGGATTCCCCATGTAGATGATTTTAAAAACAGGAGTCTCAGAAGTCAAAGTGGCAATGGGCTAATTTTTGAGACGGAGTCTCGCTCTGTCGCCCAGGCTGGAGTGCAGTGGCGTGACCTCAGCTCACTGCAAGCTCCGCCTCCCGGTTCCCGCCATTCTCCTGCCTCAGCCTCCCGAGTAGCTGGGACTACAGGCGCCGCCACCACGCCCAGCTAATTTTTTGTATTTTTAGTAGAGACGGGGTTTCACCGTGTTAGCCAGGATTGTCTCGATCTCCTGACCTCATGATCCTCCCGTCTTGGCCTCCCAAAGTGCTGGGATAAATTTTACATTCTTAACACAGGCAACCAGCCGTGATATTTCTAGTGCCAGAAGGACTTTAGTTGCTTATTGGCAAGCACTTTCCAAGTTCTCTTCACAAAGTTGCTTCTGGGATTTCCAATTAAGAGTTCAGATTCTTTGGGGGAAACTTCATCATTTTAGTGCTATGGTCCAAAATGATCCAGTAGTAATGGCAGTTTCAGGCCTAGGATCTAAGAGAAATCTAGGAAGTGGCACTTAAGTGTGTCTGCATCTCAGAAGGGGATGTGTGTGAAGAGTGTGTATGTCTCCTACTGTTTTGCAAAAAAAGCCAATCTGGGCATCAGCTGGGTAAGCCTCAACTCTTACTTATTAGCCTGTTAGGAAATGTGCTTGTTACTTGGAAACACTTTCAACTTTGAGCACACTGAACTAAAAGGTTTCTGAAATAGATACTAGAATTCTAAGATGCTTCTTATCTTGGAGATTTGCCTGAGAGGATGGGACAAAAAATCAAGCCTAATTATGCTCCAGAGTCTCAGGGACTTTCTCAACCAGGGGCCCAAGGCAAATCCCTAGAACAGAGTCAGAATGACTTTAAGGGACTGGTAGTAAGATCTTAGGCACACTTTAGGGTTGAGCGTTCAGTGTTTTCTGGCTCTAGGAAATCCAAGCAAAATCCTCTAACTTGACTGGGTGTGGCAGCTCACACCTGTAATACCAGCACTTCAGGAGGCTTAGGCAGGCGGATCACCTGAGGTCAGGGGTTCGGGACCAGCCTGGCCAACATGGTGATACTCCGTTTCTACTAAAAACAAAAAAACAATTAGCCAGGCATGGTGGCATGCACCTGTAGTCCCAGCTACTCAGGAGGCTGAGACAGGAGAACAGCTTGAACCTGGGGGGTGGAGGTTGCAGTGAGCCGAGATCGCACCTCTGCACTCCAGACTAGGCGACACAGCGAGACTCTGTCTCAAAAAACAAAACAAAACAAAACAAAAAACAACAACAAAAAACCCCTCTAACTTGAACTCTGTTTCAAGTTAGATGTTTGTTTGTTTATGTATTTATTTATTTGGAGATGAAGTCTTGGTCTGTTGCCCAGGCTGGAGTGCAGTGGTGTGATCTCGGCTCACTGCAACCGCCACCTCCTGGGTTCAAGCAATTCTTGCACCTCAGCCTCCCAAGTAGCTGGGACTACAGGTGTGTGCCACCACACTGGCTAACTTTTGTATTTTTAGTAGAGACGGGTTTCACTATGTTGGCCAGGCTGGTCTCGAACTCCTAACCTCAGGTGATCTGCCCACCTCAGCCTCCCAAAGTGCTACAATTACAAGCGTGAGCCATAGCACCTGGCCTAGATACTGTTTAGATTCAAGAAGGAGTCATCAGTGGTAACTGAAAATAATGTAATCAGTACTTGGCATGAAAAGCAAAATTATCCTGTCAAAAGTCATTACCTTGAAGGATGTAAGCTGCTAACAAGGCAGCATCTGATGTTTTACAGAGGAGTCGGCCGTGGTAGAGATCCCTTTTGATCTGGAGGAAGACTAAATACCTGGAGAGAAAACAGAGAATGAACTATAAAAAGATTTCTTTGATTGCTTTAAAGATAAAAATACGTGATGTAAGCCTATCAAAATCTTTGTCAGAATACTTTTACTACATTAAAAAAAAATCTTAAAACATATTGTAGAACAAATACATTCTCCATTTCCCTGGAAACTCTTTCAAGTACTTTGCCCTAAACTGACTTGAGGTTCAGTTCAAAATATGTCAGTTTCCTCCTGTAGCTCAAAACAGAAATGGCTGTTTCCTGGTAAAACCATCACCCCCCAGTGCTGGGCTTTGGAAGGAGCCAGCCCCAGTTGGTCCGGTGCCCAAAAAGAAAACTGTGCCATCAGAGACTGGCAAACTGGGCCCTTCTCTGCCTTGGATGCTGGCTGATGTTCCTTCTTAAGTAGAATGGCTGGGGAAGGAACTAGCCCAGGAAGAGTTCAGTCTCAACTTGCCAAGAGAATCTGTCCATATGTGGAAACAGCCTGCAGTTACCAAGGTCAACCAGACCTTTGAAATGGAATAAAGTGTAAGAAGACTAAGTCGGCCAGGCGCTGTGGGTCACGCCTGTAATCCCAGCACCTTGGGAGGCCGAGGCGGGCAGATCACGAGGTCAGGAGATCAAGGCCGTCCTGGCTAACCAGTGAAACCCAGTCTCTACTAAAATATATAAAAAATTAGCCGGGCGTGGTGGCAGGTGCCTATAGTCCCAGCTACTCGGGAGGCTGAGGCAGGAGAATGGCCTGAACCCAGAAGGTGGAGCTTGCAGTGAGCCGAGATCGCACCACTGCACTCCAGCCTGGAGGACAGAGTGAGATTGTCTCAAAAAACAAAACAAAACAAAACAGTAAAAAAAAAAAAAAAAAGACTGAGCCAAGATTGTGCCACTGTACTCTAGCTTGAGCAATTGGAGAGACCCGGTCTCAAAAAAGATGCAACAAGGGGCACTGGTGAAGGAAGCATACAAATGAAGCAGAAACCTGGGACCAGCACCTCTTTAAATACAGAAAGCTGTTGCCTCAGGTGGAAGCAGGATATCAAAAACAAGAGCAAACAGTAGCTGACATGTATTGAGGGCTTACGATCTGCCAGTCTGGGTGTTACACACTTTACATGCAATATCTTATTTAATGCTCACATAACACTTTGACGTAGGTATATTATCCCCATTATTCCAGATAGAGAAGCTGAGGCTTTAGTGATTTTCTCATGGATATACAACTAAGTGGAAGAGCCAGGATTCAACTTCAGCACTGTGAGACCCCTGAACTTGGCTCTTCATCACTATGATATTCTGCCCTCCTTGTGTGTCCGGAATTGGTGGGTTCTTGGTCTCGCTGACTTCAAGAATGAAGCCGCGGACTCTCACGGTGAGCGTTACAGTTCTTAAAGATGGTCTGTCCCCAGTTTGTTCCTTCAGACCTTCAGATGTGTCTGGAGCTTCTTCTTTCTGATGGGTTGGTGGTCTCGGTGGCTTCAGGAGTGAAGCTGCAGACCTTCGTGGTGAGTGTTACAACTCATAAAGGCAGCGTGGACCCAAAGAGTGAGCAGCAGCAAGATTTAGTGCAAAGAGCGAAAGAACAAAGCTTCTCCGGTGTGGAAGGGGACCGAGCCAGTTGCCGCTGTGGGCTCGGGCAGCCTGCTTTTCTTCCCTTATCTGACCCCACCCACATCCTGCTGATTGGTCCATTTTACAGGAGCTGATTGATCTATTTTACAGAGAGCTGATTGGTCCGTTTTGACAGTGTGCTGATTGGTGCGTTTACAATCCTTGAGCTAGACACAGAGCGCTAGAGGGAAAAGTTCTCCAAGTCCCCACTAGGTTAGCTAGACACAGAGTATTGATTGGTGTATTTACAAACCCTAAGCTAGACAGAGTGCTAATTGGTGTATTTACGATCCTCTAGCTAGACATAGAAGTTCTCCAAGTCCCCACCAGATTAGCTAGATACAGAGTGCTGATTGGTGCACATACAATCCTCTGGCTAGATATAAAAGTTCTCCAAGTCCCCATGTGCTCAGGAGCCCAGCTGGCTTCACCTAGTGGATCCTGCACCCGGGCTGCAGGCGGAGCTGCCCGCCAGTCCCAAGCTGCACTTGCACTCCTCACCTCTTGGGCTGTTGATGGGACCGGGCACCACGGAGCAGGGGGTGGTGCTTGTCGGGGAGGCTTGGTCCGCTCAGGAGCCCACCGCAGTGGGGGAGCTGGGACATGGCCGGCTGCAGGTCCCCAGCCCTGCCCGGTGGGGAGGCAGCTAAGAATTTGAGTGCAGCACCAGTGGGCCAGCACTGCTGGGGGACCCGGCCCAACCTCCGCAGCTGCTGGCCCGGGTGCTAAGCCCCTCACTGCCCTAGGCCAGCAGTGTCGGCCGGCCACTCCTTGTGCGGGGTCCCGCTGTGCTGGAGCCCGTGCCCGCCGGAACTCGCAATGGCCCAGGAGCACCGCGTGCAGCCCCGGTTCATGCCCGCGCCTCTGCCTCCACACCTCCCCGCAAGCAGAGGGAGGCGGCTCCGGCCTCAGCCAGCCCAGAGAGGGGCTCCCACAGTGCCGTGGCAGGCTGAAGGGCTTGTCAAGTGCCGCCAGAGTGGACGCCCAGGCCGAGGAGGCGCTGAGAGTGAGGGCTGTTAGCACATTGTCACCTCTCACTTGCACTATAAATGCTTTGCAGTTTCACTAGTTGGATGGACCCTGTCACAGTGGAATGGAATTGATGACTTTCCATTTTGAAATGCCTTCACAAGGAGTGTGGTCTTCATTGCTCTTCTTAGAAGACCTGTAAGATTATTAGTAGCATCAATCCCTTGAGTGGGTCACCTACCATGGTGGTTCCTTGGCCAGGGAGCATTTCTGGTGATTTAAAAATATTTCCACAGATTATTTGATAATCCTAATTTCATGAGGTAGAGCTTAATTCCTTCTCTTTGAGTGTGGCTTAGACTTGGTGACTCACTTCTATCAACAGAATAAAGCATGAGTGAGTGTCTGACTTCTAAGGTCATAAAGTCATTGCAGCTTCCTCCTTGTTCTCTTGCCCTTGGATCACTCGTTCTTCTTGAGGTTGCTTCAGCATTCCTATAGAAAGGTCCATGTGGTGAGGAACTGGGGCCTTTGCCAACAGCCAGCAAGGAACTGAGGCTTTCGGCCAACAGCCATTTGAGTGCCCCATCGTGGAAATGAAGTCCCCAGCTCCAGTCAAGCCTGTGGATCACTGTAGCCCCAGCCAACCTCCTGACTGCAACCTCGTGACTAACCCTGAGCCAGAACCACCCAGCTAAGCTGCTCTTGAATTCCTGACCCACAGACAATACTCTGAGACACTTAAATGCTTGCTATTTTAAGTCAACTTTTATGATGCAGCATCCCTAGGGGAGTAATGAAAATGTAGTAAAATTCCTTTAAATTCTAACAGTCTGAACCAAAAAGAAATTGACCCCTCCCTGGATAATTGGAGGTTTCCATTGTTTCTGTTTTCAGGCTGAAGAATAAAATTGAGGATTCCGTGTCCACTTGACCATGTAAAAATGCTCAAGAGGAAGAGGGCTGTTGATGGTGCAACTTCCAGGAGGTGGTAGGAAGGGGTCCTAGCAGGTAACTCTGAGAGGCTCAGGCTTGGAGATTCATGCAGTTAACAGAAATGAGGGAGCAACCAAGCCTTCTTCTCTCTTCAGGGCTTACTACTCAAAGTGTAGCCCGCATATCAGGGGTATCAGCATCACTTGAGAGCTTATTGGAGACGAAGAATATAGGCCCATCCTACACTTACACCTACACCTTTTAACAAGATCCCCAGGTGATTTGTGTATAGATTAAAATTTAAGAAGCTGTCCTAAGAAAATTCAAAAGCAACCTTCTAACCACAGCAGGATGGACTGCCTTCCTCAGACCAAAGGGAAGGTGAGTCTTAGTCTGGAAGTTAATAAGAACCCATCCTCTCACTCCCATCAACCCTACTCTGCCCAAATGTTTACCAAGAAAAACTAAAGGAAAAAAGACATGTAGAGTGAATAATTAAGATGGATCTACCAAATCAAGCTCGTCTTCACTCTGCTTCCCACAGTGAAATGCCACACGGTGTGTGGGAGACAGTGAGTGAGCACTTCTCTGCCTCTCACTGTTCCAACTCCCACCTTCCACAGGCTTCAGCAGGATGTGGATGCAAACCTTTTGCCCCTTACTGATCACTCTCTGGACCTGGATTCATGCATCATGTCTTCCATGTTTCTCTGCTTGTCTGTGTCCAAAATTCAGGGACTGTACATATTGGACTAAAGGAGATATTGCAAAGGGATAATATGGATAATATGGTTCTGGGCAGTGATTCTCAACGTGGCAGAGAGGGGAACATCTTCCAGGGGGAGCCCATCAGAATCCATATGTGTCGGGGGTGCTCCTGTGGTTTGAAAAGGCCCCTTTGGGCCGGGCGCGGTGGCTCACACCTGTAATCCCAGCACTTTGGGAGGTCGAGGTGGGTGGATCACCTGAGGTCAGGAATTCGAGACCACTGTGGCCAACATGGTGAAACCCTATCTCTACTAAAAAAAAAAAAAAAAAAAATTAGTCAGGCATGGTGGTGTAGGCCTGTAATCCCAATTACTTGGGAGAGGCTGAGGCTGTAGAATCACTTGAACCCGGGAGGCAGAGGTGGCAGTGAGCCAAAATCGCACCACTGCACTCCAGCCTGGGCGACAAGAGCAAAACTCTATCTCAAATAAAAAAAAAAAAGAAAGAAAAAAGTCCTGTTTAAAGTTTCCGATTTGCTCCCCTTCTCCACCCACTCAAAGGAACATGATCCTGCTCACAGTGAGAACCACTGTCTTTGCAAGGCATCATTATCGATGGCAGGTAATGGCCTCAGGTGAACTGGAATGGACGCAAGGCTTTCCACTGCTGGGCCGGGTTCCTTTTGATTTCTGGTGATAAAAACAGCTGCAGGGAGGTTAAAGGCAAGGCCACGGGGCATTCTCAGACAATGTCATAGAACTAGATGGGAAGAGGGAAAA